ATTCCCCTATGATGAATGTTATCACTATGTATATATAAAATGTACCAATAAAAAAATTCAAAGAAAAAATAAAAAATAAAAAAACTATAGTGGTATGGTTTGTATCTAGTTGTTCCCCCACAAAGCCTCAGGCAGCTGTGGAGTGGCTTCTAGAGTTTGTGATTAATTCATGATCCAATGCTGTGATTATGGGTGTGAGTGCTACACTCAACCTGCGGCAGACAGCCTAGATGCAATATAAGGAAGAGAGAAAGGCTCGCTCACTGCTGCTGCCATTGTTGCTCCTCTCTTTTTCTCTTGCTGTTTTGCTGTTTTCTGCCACCATAAGTCGCTGCCCTCTGTCATGTGCCAGTTTGCCTTTGAGCCAGCTGAGTATGGCCTGAAACCTCCAGTAACTGTTAGCTAAATAAACCTTTGCTTCCTTAATTTTGGGTGTCAAGTATGTTGTCCCAGTAACAAGAGGAAAAGTAACCAACACATATGGGAAGCAGAAGTGATCAATGAATACAGGCCGTTAGAGCTAGAAGAGGGCGCTATAGTTGGTAATCAATTAATGACACATACCTTTAAAATAAAAAGAGAAAATGACATGGTTGAATACCTCTTATCTTGGTCTTCTAAATGTGTATCATTTCTAATGTCTTATCAATTATTATACTCTTTAAAAATGAATTAAAACAAAAAACACAAGGAAAAAGTTAAGATTTCTTAAAAGCAAGTGTCAATATTCAATTACTTCTCTGATCTTACATAACTATATCTGTTAATCTGAGCAACAGAGATAATAAAAAATAGATAATATAACAATCATTATTAGCTATTCTTGTTCTGAAAATCTGCAACATATGTATTATTGTATGTCACCTTGTCTTTTTTTTCTACTTGTTGCTTCTGTTTTTACTCGTTTAAAATAAAATTAAATTAAATTTTTAAAAAAGAGAGAAAATGAAAAACGGACCCAACAGCTGCTAGGTGATGCAAAGAGAACTAATCTAAGATTAACTAGAATTTGTGAAAAATCTTATTAAGCCAAAACAAAGGGAAATAAAAGCTGTTGTTAGAAATAATGGAATCTTTCCAAAAATGGAAACACAATTTAACATACAGATAAATGAGGCAAAATGGCCACTCCAAGACACCTCATAACCAAAATACCAGAAATCCAAGACAAGAAGAGAATCTTAAAAGTTAAGAGGAAAAAGCAACAAAAGGCTGATAAAGGAAAACCAATGCATACTACAGCATACTTCTCAACACAAGTCTTAAAGACAAGGAGATGCTGTAGTGAAGTTGTTTTAAGCCCTCAAAGAAAAAATCATCTCACATGATGATCAATTAAATAGATGGGAAAGAAAAGTAATTGGCAGGAGAAAAATAAGCCAATGACAAGAATAAGTTAATACCTGTCAGTTATAACCATCAATGTGAATGGTCTCAATTCACCAGTCAAAGGCACAGATTTGCACAATGGATCAAGAAACAAGACCTAATGTTGTTTCATACAAGAAACACACTAAGCACAAACAGAAATTCATAGACTAAAAAGGATAGAACATACTATTCCATGCAACAGGAATTTGTAAACAAGTTTATTTCAAATAAAGTGGACCTTAAGCAAAAACTGACCAGAAGAGGCAAAGGTCACTACATATTGGTTAAGGGAAGTAGTCAACTGGAAGGGAACCAAATTCACTTTAACAATTGGATTTAATACATGCACACAAAGCATTACACCTAACAACAACAAAATACACAATCATCTTAGCTGGACATAAAATTTTCTCCAAAACAGACCACATGTTAGCCCATAAAGCATGGTTAAGTACATGTAAAACAATCAAAATTATCACATGTATATTATCAGATAATAATTCAATGAAACTAGAAGTCAGTGGCAAAAGAAACCACAGCAACTGCACAAACACACTGACTCTTCAATAATCAGTGAGTCACAAACTGGGCGTGGTCACACACCTGCAATCCCAGCACTAAGGGAGGCTGAGACAGGAGGATCACTACAAGTCAGAACTGCAAAACTGAGTAGTGGGACCTTAACAAAAAACAAATAATCAATGAGTCACAAAGAAATTAAATAAGAAATATAATAATCCCTAAAACTAAATGATAATGCCAGTACAAAGTATCAGAATTTATGGGACACAACAAAACAATCTGCAAAGTTTATAGCTATAATGTCCACATTAAAAAACAGAGTGTGCCCAAATAATTAACCTAGTGATACACCTTGAGGTCTTATAAAAAGAGGAAGAATCAAACCAAAGATAGTACAAGAGCAGAAATGATAAAGATCAGAGTAGAAATTCAAGTTGAGACCAAAAATTACAAAGAATCGATGAGTTTAACTGATTATTCAAAATGGACAAACCCTTAGCCAATCTTAGCAAAAATAGAAAGAAAAGAAACAATGCAATGAGAAAGGAAAAAGTGAAGTCACAAATGGGCATTGCCAAAATCTAGATTATTACCAACTACTTCACAAAACAGTATGCCAATAAATTGGCTAACTCAGAAGAAATGGCAAGTTTCCTAGTTACATATGGTAGGTTGGTTGGTTGTTTTGGTACGAGGAATCAAACTTGCAGGGCAGGTGCATATGCTGCTGAGCTATCTCTCTGGCCTCTCTTAGTTACATATGAATACATAACTGAACAACAACAAAAAAATTTAATACTAAATAATCCAAAAATAGGCAAGGAAATTGAATTTAGAAATATACCAACTAAGAAAAGCTCAGGACTTGATAGATGCACCACCAAATTCTATAAGAATTTCAGGAAAGACCTATTGCTAATACTCCTCAAACTCTTTAATAAAATAAAAAAGGAAGGAGTATTCCCAAAGTCATTCTTGGAAGCTAGCATCACCTTCATTCCAAAGTCACACAAGGATCCAACCTAAAAAAATAAAACAGAAAACAATAGGCCATTATCTCTAATGAACACAGATACAAAAACAATCAAGATACTGGCAAACAGGATGTAGCATATCATCAAAAAGATCATAAATCATTATCATGTTAGCTTTATCAAAGGGATACAAGGATGTTTCAAATAGACAAATCAGAAAGTGTAATCCATTACATAAACAGAAGGACAAAAATCACATGATTATCTCAATCAGTGCAAGAAAATCCTTTTACACAATCCAACATCCATGCATGACAAAAAACCTGAAAACATAGGTACAGAAGGATTTTATCTCAATCTGATAAAAGCATTCATGACAAACCACTTAATCAGCTCGATGAAATAAAGATAAAACAGATAAAGACATACACATAGGTGAGGACTTTCTGAACAGAACCCCAACTGCACAAGAAATACCATCAAAAATTAACAAATGGGATTGTATCAAACTTAAAAGCTTTTGACAAACAAAAGAAACAACAAGAAGAAGAAACAATCTACAGAAAGGGACAATATTTTGCCAGCTACTCTTTGGACAAAAGACTAACATCTAGAATATAGAAAGAACTCAAAATATTAGGCCCTTTCAAAATAAATGGCCCAATCAAAAAATGGGCAATTGAAATGAATAGATACTTCTCAGCAGAAGAAATATACATGGCAAACAAATACATGAAAAAAATTTCAGTATCTCAGGCCATTAAAGAAATACAAATTAAAGCTACACTGAGATTTCCTCTTACTCCAAAAAGAATAGCTATCATCAAGAAATCTAACAATTGAAAGTGCTGGCAAGGACATGGAGAAAAAGGAATCCTAACATTGCTGGTGAGAATACAAGCTACAACAACCACTATGGAAATAAGTATGGAGAGTTCTCAAAAACCTAAAATTAAAAATTTCAACCAACTAAGCTATACCTCTTCTAAGTGTCTTCCCCAAAGAATTAAAGACATCTTATGTGTACCCATATTTACAGTAGCATAACTCATAACAACTAAATCTTGGAAGTGGCCCATCCATCCATCAACAGATAAATGGATAAAGAAAATATGATATATAGATAAATTTGAGTCGTTGTCAGGAAAATTAATGTACCTTGAAACCATAATTCTTAGTGAAATATGTCAAACACATAAGATTAAATATTTTATGGTTCCTCATATAAGAAAGAAACCGAAGGAGAAATAAAGAGCAAAATAAAAGATAGGTAAGAGATAGAACTTTTGCAAATGAGCAGCAGATCTAGAGACAGATGGCATGGAGGTCAGGAGAGAGAGAGGTGGGAAGAAACAAAGAGAAGGGCAAGTAAAAAGGATTAAGAAGTGATACGACTATAACAATTCTCCAAAATGAATGTATTTGTTATGTACCACAGGCATGTACTGATAAAAATAAACAAAATCATAGTATCGTCATGTGGTTAGGCAAACTTTGCTAAGGATCCCAAAGATACTGGTTTCTCTGACACTCAGTATATATACTCAAAGTAAAAAGTACTTTAGGAAAAAAGTATGTGCAAAAATAAAACTAACTCTGCCAGCATTTATGTTGTGAAAGTGAGACTCTCTCTCCCTCTCCCTCCCTCCTTGTCCATCCTACTCTTCCTTTTTCTCCCACTCCTGCTCCCTCCCCTTCTCCTCAAATGTAGCTATAATTCTTATTGTTTCAGGCATATTTGTTGAAGACCTCAGGATAGGTGAATGAAGGAAAATACTTACTCAGAAAGGTCAGGCTTGCTTTCTTTAGCACCAGCCATAGCCATGAACAAACAGTTGACCACAACAGTGCAGATGATGAAAAAGCTGAACAATGTGACCATGGCATTAAGGCACACTCTGCAGGTCAGCACATGACACTGGCTAGTGGGTGCAGGCTATTACTGTAATGGGGCCTCCTGGTTGTCTTTTCCAGAGGTGCACCTATTCTCTGAGAGTTGACTAAAAACAACTCATTCCTATCTCTTCTGGAGAATACCTTCCTGCTGAATGGCAACTTCCCACATTCCTTTCTACATGTCTAGCTCATACATATGACAAAAATCTGATTCCTTGCATCGAAGTTGGACAACTCTTGTCTCATCCTGCTTGCCTCTGTCCTCAGAGAACCTTTTTCCACTAACCACTTAAGTAAGAACCTCCACTCCCAGGCCCACTTCCCAACCTCCAACCCACCCTAGCTAGTTATTCATTATCATTCTCCTTGATGTTTTTCTTTTTTTTTTTTTTTTTTCTAGAACTGGGGATTGAACTCAGGACCTTGTACTTGCCAGGCAAGCACTTACTCTACTGTGCTATCTCCCAAGCCTCTTCTCCTTGATGTTTTATTAGGCCTACTAATCCATGTCTTTTTCACCTGTACAAAATATCTAGCATTTCTTGCAATATCCTTCACACCTTAAAAACGCTTAATAATTCTTCTTTATCCCTTAAAAGTCAGTCTGCAAAAAGGTTGGCAAATCATACACATTTGTGAAAATAGTTGATATTGGAGCAGAAGAGAGATACAGATGTTACAAAAAAGAGGTTGCTTCCCCTCTCCAAAAGAGGGAGTGATTCTGTACTATACTGACTTCTTGCCAAGTAAGAATTCAGACCTACCCTTGGCAGAAGTTCAATTTTCAAGTGAAGTTAGAAATATGAACTGTCTGTGTTAGAAAATGTTTCCTAAGTGTTTTAAACACTGTGTGGGCCCAACACAATACATTCATCCACTCAAACGGTGCACAGGCCTCTCTGTTCAAGTATCCGTTTAGATGTTCCTTTCTCTAAGAAGTCAGCCTACCAGCCTCACTGTCTCCAAAGCACAGCAGGGCCTTTCTTTCTCTTCATGCTGCCACCTCCCCTCCATACTATAGAAACTGCCTGCCTACACATCATCTCCTGAAGCCAAGGGTCTCACAACAGGGTACCACACTATGTTCACAGCCAGCATCAGCACAGCGCCTGCCACACAGTGGCACTCAGCTAGTACTTGGTGAAAGAATGAGAATTGGATCCTGTTTAGCAAACACGTGAACCCCCAGGGCTTGTGCACTTTTCACATGACCAGGACTTAATAAAAGGATATGAATGGACCAAGATTCTAATGGCTAAACTCCTGATGGGATTGAAAGGCCCAAAAATGAACAAGGCACGCTTGGCACTGAAGCGGTAGATTGTTCTCTTCTTGTTCAACACCATAAATGTCTGCAGAAAACCAAACACAACAGAAATTAAGTGCAACAGCAAAATATTTATTAGTTCATTTAGAGAATCATAGGTTCAGTCCTAGCTTAGCATATAATGAGAACTGTCATTCCCGGTTGCAGAATTGTCATTCTGAAGCCTCAGGTACTTTCTAAAAAGCTAACCTGTGACTCTGGAGCCCAGTGGCTCCCATCACTATTACCACCACTATTACCACCACCATCACCACCACCACCACCACCATGACCTGTGTCTCAAGGTAAGTGCTGGAATGTGAGCTACTTATCTGCTAGGATATTCTGAAAGAACCAGATATGAAAACATAGAAAATAGGGTATGGAGTAATAACTGGGAAAAAGCAAGCCCTTAATATTGAACTTCATGATGTGCCTTTGTGAGGATTTCGAAAGAATTTTAAGAGATGAAAATTGGGGGGGAGTTGTATTTATTTATTTAATACAGGGTCTCATGACACAGTTCAGACACATAGTGATCCTCTTGTCTCAGCCTTTCCAGCACTAGGATTACAGGGATGTGTCACCACACCCAGTTTCAGGGCTGGCACAGTATGCCTGGGATTCCAGGACTGGCAGAGCACGCAGTACAAGAGATTGAATTCAGGTCCTTGCACTTGCCAGGCAGGTGCTTAGACTGCCAAGCTATCACCCTAGTACTGAAAATTGGGTTTAGAGAGTCACATTAATGTATTATTTTAAACTACTATTTGGCATGATAAAAAAACTTTATAAGGATTCTTAATATAGAAAGGGATTTGGAGAGTCCATATATAGTTACACTGCAGGCTTCAGCAGTTCTACATAATGTAACCAATATATTCTAATCTTTAAGATCTTTCAGGAAAAAATCACCAAGTGTCTTGGACTTATTCTCCCTTTCTTCCCACCCTCATATATATTGGGGCAATTAGTACTTAACTAGTGGAAGAGGTGAGTGCTTCCCTTACAGAAAGCATTTGGAAATGTGTGTGTGTTTTTGGTCTCCTGACACAATTCCTAGGGGCTCTACTGGCTTCTGGTGGGTAGTTCAGGGATGCCAAGTACAGAACAGACCTGCCAAATCATCACTGTCCCACCCAAATTGCCCACTGAAGAATACCAAGCTTGTGCTTGTGTCTACCCACAATGTGTTCCCAAACTCTCAGAATGGAGCAACTCCTGGACAATAACTTGTCTCTCATGGCCTCTAAAATCAGGGCTCAGACTTCCCTTTTTTTCCATTTAACTGTGATCTGGCTCTCCTCTTAAGTGGTCCCAAAGCTGTCAGTTACAAAAGCCTTCACAGGGTAAAACGTTGTCCTACTTGAGCATGTGGCCCAGCATGCTCTCAAAGAGGAAGAAGAGACCTTGGCAACATGCACAAAAGTAGTGGAGCAAGTGCTCTCCTGACTCAGAACAGCAGCCACCATGGATTGTCAACCTTCTTTCAATGAGTTGCTGGAATACACTGGTCTGAGAGCATCTGGCTCTAGAGCAAAATGTGGATAGGATTATTTTTCTTGACCTCCATAGGAAAATTAAATGGCTCATAGGGTTGTTAATGCTGTTATTATAGAAAGAGCATGAGTTTGAGCCCCAGCTTCCTGTCTTACTGGCTGTCTGACTGGTATAAGCACCTCTCACCAAGGGTGCCAGCCTCAGATGAGTGTGTGGAGCTCAAAACAAGTATTATGTCTTTTGGTTAAAAGGGAAGACCAGCTGGGGAGATACAATGCAACAGCCTCAGAGACTTGAACAGCCCGTCCTTCTAGGACAGTCTGAAGCATGCCAGGTACTTCCTAGACCCTGGGTCCCCTATAGGACATAGGCACAAAGAAGCGTCTCCCAGTCAACTCAGTGCTAACAACTGCGCCAACAAGTCTGTGAGCTCTGGATCATAAGGTCGTAAGATCTGGATCATAAGGAGAAACACTAGAATATTTTTCCTCCCTTGTCTCTTTTCCCCTTGTTTATTCCTTCCTTCCTCTCTACACTCAGCTCCCTTTATGTCCAATTTTAAGGGCATGCAAACCAGGTATGCTTTCTCACTTTGTAGCTCAGGCTGGTCTTGAATTCATGGCAATCTTCCTGCCTCAGCCTCCTGAGTGATAGGATCACAGTGGTGCACCGCTATACCCGGCCCTCTCTATTCTCCTTTTAATCTGTTTGTTGTACCTTGACCTTCTCTTCTCCCTCAACACATGGATCAGGGAGAGAAAATGGGAACTTAAAGGGCTTCTCAAGACTATGAAGGCAATAACATGGAGCAACAGCAAAGGCAAGGCACAGCCCACTCTCTATGAAGCCCAAGATTAGTATTTGGTAGACCTGTAAGATCAGTTACAACTGAATGACTGGAAGATCTCCATGTGATCACAAAATTACCTTATGATTTCTGTAGAATGGGTCCAAATCTTCCAGGGGCTTCCCTACCAGCTCAGGGGGAATGTTGCCGTAGAGCTTAGGCAACTTCCTGGAGGCCTTTAGGTCAAGCTGAGGTCGAGGTGAGGGTGTCGATACTGTCTTGTCTTTGGACTTCTTTTTCTCCTTTTGGATCGCTATCCGCTTTGCTATTGCAGCCAGCGAGTCTGCGGTGAAGGGGCGAAAATTCCGCTCATCTGGGAAAATCACTGGGTAGCACCTGTCATCCATCTTCAGCCTTCAGAAGGAAACAAGCCACAGGTTCTTAGACTTCTCTGACGAGGTACAAATGCACTTCTCCCTCAGGGTTACTCTGGATAGATAGTGTCCTGGGAAGCTACAAGGGCTGAAGCTGAGGTTGGAGGGCATAGGTATTGACTGGCAATAATGTGGATCAGAAGCGACTACCACTGTGGGTACAGCAAAAACTCTGGGCAGAGATAGCACCAAAGCAGTGTGTCATTTCCAGAGGCCTGGGAATAGATAGGAAGCTGAATTCAAAAACAAGTGAGCAGAAGAAGCCAAGTCTCTAAGGCTAAGCATAGCATAGAGCAAGACAGTAAGGCTGAACTGTGACTGGAGGCTTACCACAGCAGACAGGTGGCCAGCACGTTGCAAACAGGAGGGGAAAGAATAGGTGGGCTATAGCCATTTAGTTTTTGCAAAAGCAAAACTATTCGTGCACATGTCTTTTTTCACATTGATCAACAAAGTTCTTGAAATGTACTAGAATGAAAGCAAAAGAGCCATAAACAAAAAGGTGAAAGTTGATGCTAACATCTATAATCCTACACCAGCTCTCTTACCTCTGGAAGCCAGACCCTCACAAAGTGAGACTGCAAGAAAGCAAAAATAATTTCCTAAAAATAGGGCCAGGGAGATGGCTCAGTAGGATAAGCGCTTGACTGGCAAACGCAAGGATCTGAGTTCAATCCCCGGTTCCACCTAAAAA